TACTAAATAATTAATCGTGTTTAGTCACTGCTCTTGATTAATTTGATGGTGACCCTTTTTATCTAAACTGCTTGGTAAATGGTTTGGTAAAATACTAACACATAATTCGTTCCCAAGAAGGCAAGAATATAACTTACGGACGGACTAATCAGATATAAAATTACAGGTTTAGGATTTTGGCGCTAAATTCATTCATTTCCTTGGTTAACTAGAGTTTTTGCATTTAAGCTGACGTAAGTTCGTTATGAAAACCCTAAATCTAATTCCTAACCCTAATTTTCAACAGTAACTCCTCTCACTGGCTTATGAACCTCATTTCATCATAGTAGATGGAGCATTTCAAGGTCACTTCGAAGTAGCTCAAGAACATCCACAAATTACAGTTTTATCATAATCAATACAAGACTACAAACTTCACTGATTCCTAGCCAGGTACCACCAAAATACTCAGCCGATTAAAATAAGCTGGATATCTTTTATGTTATATAGCCAACACTTCACACAATCTTAAATGTTTCATTCATATTCAGCAAGGCTGTTTTCATCGGAATAAGAATTTCGACATTACTGAAAATTTTTTTAATTTAACGAAGCCTCATTGTTTTACTGACGTTGAACGTGACCGTACATTGTGATAGGAAAATAAAGTAATATGGTTAAAAGCACTAATTTACATTTTATTAGCTATCATCATTTTTCGGAAATAAAATCTCATGACAACTCCGATCATTTATTATGCCTCAAAAGCGAAATTGTGTTTTTAGGTATATTGACAACCAGAATTGGTCAAGTTATATTTTGCAAACAAGCATTGTCGCTTATAATTGCTATTCATTCTATTGATATGTGGCTCCAAATCCTGGCTCAATGTATTCCTTGGTCATTCACTTTTCCCCTTCCATCCAAAATTTCCAGTTGCGACTTACCTCATGATGCTGTTCAGTGATTCTCTTCGTGTATGTGGTAAATTTTTTAACTAAGCATACATTATAATCAACGGACCACATGATTTTGGTGTAGTGCCATCCCAATGTCAATAAAGTCATAGTTGGTTCCCATTAGGACGGCGTACGTTACTGGTTCCCGTTTCTAATTGTTCATGATATGTAACCACACTCTGACGGGTATTCATCGTAGCATATCAGTTTTACGAAAACCTGACTATCATTCAAGATAAGTCATGTGAAAATCACAGTATTCAGACATTATTTTGAATCAGTTCAAGTGGCAAAATAAATCCCCATCTTCGTGTTCTTATTTCTCATCCGGTTTACAATACGAGATAACAAACAACAACTCAGTTAAGGATTGAGCAGATCACAGAAACAATAATCCAAATTCATAAGCCATAACCACAAAACAAACGAATGATGTAAATAAGCAGTTACTTGACTGCTACTTTTGTCATGGCCATGTGTTAGAGACTTCAAATATATTTTTAGGAAGGTTTACGAATTAATATCTCACGTACACATGAAAACCTCGTGAATACTGAAACCAACTGGCTGGTCCACATCTAAATAGTGATATTTTTACTCTCTGAGTTGAATTTGTTTTATCGATCGTTGACTGCGCAACGTGATTGAGGTTTTTGCTTTAGATGAATTTATTTCCGCTAAAGTAATAGCCGAGAGTGTCTTAATCCAATAAATCAATTTATCATCCGTATATTGGTCCCTTTTGTATTTGTTGACAGTAGTGACTTTGGTAGTTTACAGCCTTTCACTCTTATCTGGTTATCAATTTCTTCTGTCGCTGGATGCTGCTTGTGTCTAGTTTATTTTTGAAAGTTACTGAGTGATGACTGAACAGTGGAAAAAGAGCGATTGCAGACTCTCAGTTTTCGACACCCTGTGGAGAATGGCATGCAATAGTAGGGACGGTACCACGAATTTCTCATCGAACACCTGCGGCTTTCAAACTGTTTAGTAAAAGTAGTCCACTGATTTATTTAAGCTGATGGAGGAAGTACGGCCTAAAAATAGGTCTGTTGCAAATAAAACCTTAACAAGAGAATGTTTCTTCAGTCCACACACAATAAATGGCACCGAATAGAAATGCCTATAAAACCTGATCACAAGGCCAGGCCTGTATCCAGCAATACAAAACAACCACGTGATTGCCCAAGTCCTAGAAAATCACACAGGATGCCACAGTGAGTGGGATCGCATTGTTACTCCAATGAAAGTTGATGAATGAGTGTAGATCAAGAATAAAGAACGACCTAATGTTACCAAAAAAGTAAGTCCCTCAAACAGTAACAGATAAACTGAAGACTTATCATAGTGACAGTGTGGTTTTTGAATGAACTAATGATTCCTTTGTACTTGTTAAATGCTCGATTTCGAATTCAAATACAGTACATTCGTTCATGCTTATCTAGTACATCTTGATCCGATTACGTTATTTCTGGGATTTTTAGTTTAGACTATAATTCAAATACTTCTAATTATCATTGACAGTTTAGTTACTTTTCACAGAGTGGAATCTCAGAACCCAGGACTCGTTCCGAGCATGAAATCGAATTGATAAAAGAGATACCTAATGTGCCAACGCTTCAAAATATTTGTGGAGTTACTGTGCTGAAGGTTTATAAACTAACTAGCCAAATAGACTTGAAACAGAATCAAAATAATCCACATAACTTAGCTTTCAAATCTCTTAATGAAAGTAGGTTAATACCACAGAATAGGTAAAAACTAAAGTGATCAAGAGAATTTTGTCCGTAAAGACTTGACGCACTTAGACTGTATAAAGACGAGAGGCCTAATGAACTGGAACTAAGGTTAGATGCTGAAACGAAGAACCTTCATATTATAAAATTTCATGTGGGAAGGTTTTGACAGAGAATGATGCCGAATCCACTGTGGGTACAGCGCGAAGTCATCCGTTGAAGAAATACTCGGGGCTTTCTCAATAAACGGTAGGAGCTTGGTGTGCAGATATAATCCTCCAAGCCGGATTTAAACGCCGTCATAGAAACTTGGTTGACGCAGTCTGTAGACAATGAGGAACAGAATATAAAACGCTTCCCATTATTAAGAGCCGATAGAATCCAGAAGCGCAAAAGAGTAGTAGCTCTATTCATTCTAAATACTATCGTATTTGCCATTGTTGATCAAATATACTATGAAAGTGGGACGTGTGATTGAACAGTTGCTGATTGAGATGCAAGGATCGAGAGCTGATGATTGGCTTGATTCACCCAAGTCCAAACTGTGGGGTGAATGCGGTCTTGCTAGTCGGTTGCAACACTTGGTAATTAAACGATTGATGTATATTATAAAGAAACTTTAATGTACCTACTGTGAGCTGGAAAAATCTGAGAGTTGAACTGTCGGAAAATTCTTTCGAATAAAAAGTAGTTGATGCGGTTTTGTGGTGTTTGAATGAACTGATGATTCTTTTGTACTTGTTGAATGCTTCATTTCGATTTTCAAATACAGTAAATTCGTTTGTGGTTACCTAGTACTTCTTGATCCGATTACATTATTTCTGGGATTCCTAGTTCATACTATAATTCAAATACTCCTAATTATCACATATGCCCTTGTGCAGTATGTGAAAAAAGCAACAAGGTGTGATCTGTACTCCAAACTATCCTTGCTAGATCTCATATTGACTCATTATGAGGATGACGACACAAACGTCCACTATATGCCACCCCCCGGGTAAAAGTGATCATACAACTCTCGTCTTTGATTTACATATGGTTGTCGTTAATTAGTATGTGTCAGTCCAAGTCAGATCAAACGAGATAATACACAGTCAGCATTCTCAGTGGATTGGTCAACAGATTCAGAGTCCCTAATTTAAACGGCTTGAAATGCGTTCAGAAAGTTGTACATAAAAGTCACTGGAACGCAAGTCCATTGGGCCACACCAAGGGGTTCGAGAAACTCACAATCGATTGATCACTGGGTGGTGATCAATGTCATGCCTGTCTAGTCCTTATTAGTGCAGATCGAATGCTATCGATCATGTTACAATGTGGCCACCAGTCTAGGTGACTCGACACTGCAGGCACTATGTATTGAGATTTAGATGGTGGTTGGAGGTAGTCAACAGGAAACCCTGGAACCGGGTTTCGTGCTACTTGGCACTCGTCAGCAAGGTGTACCTGTACTCTTGAGGGAACTGGTGCTCCCTGGCGGATTCGATCTCGTGTCACCCAGCTTCACAGTCAGAGACGTTACCACTGAGCTATCCGAGCCTTGACTAACCTCCTGTAGGACTGAGGTGTAATCAAAATTGATTGATCACCGGGTGGTGATCAATGTCATGCTTGTCTAGTTCGAGAAACGCCCTTCGGTGGTTCAGTAAAGAGGTTCCCACATTTCTCCGTAAGATGAGAATGTGATAGAGATTTAGGTTACTGGTTACGAAAAAGACAAAATCCCAATATCTGAAAGCTCAAACCCCGCACAAGTCTAGAACGCTGTATTAAGAAAAACATGTTAAGAAATCTATCGAATGTTTTAAACGCTTATACTCGTACATAAATCAAAGGATTAGGAGAGAAGAGAATAATACATGGAGAAAGTAGTAATACATCATTAGGGAACAACCATTATGGTAAAGCTCAGGTATTTTCAAACTACTTTAGCAATGTACACAATAAAGATGCTTCCTTTGCAGTCCACACCATGGCCTAAAATTTGGCAGTAGCCGATAAACGCTTCCAAGAGCTTTATGGTGCATATTGGTCAGCAAGTTACAGATGCAAGGTGAATAACGGCAAGCTAGACCCTGCCAGTAAGTTGTAGCAAAAGGTTCAAAGTGCTTCCGCTAAGATAGCATCACCACCGTATAGTGCTAAATTGGTTAAACTAAACCTATTTTCATTGTCATTTAGAAGAGTCACAGGCGACTTGATCACAGTTTTAAGTTAGTTAGTGATAAGTTTGCATCTGATGTACCCCACTTGCCTTGTCTTCTAAAACGGAGAATTTACGAGAACACTAAAAACGTATACTGGCCAAGAACGTTGTTTAGTTATTGAACATTTTGTGAGCGCATTGTAAATTTCTGATCAGGTGATTTTCGGAGGAATTTTCAAAAAATTTTCTGTAATGTAATGCCACCTTGGGGACTGGCGAAAAAGCCTGTCAAGTTGTTCCTTAATTTCTCATTTGGACAGTTTCTTTCTCAGCCTTTGGAAGATGATCAAATTATAATAACTTCCAATGGCATTGGATGTAAAGATATATATTTTAACATTGATGTAAGATATTCTATAATTATGAGTATACTTTGTAGAAACTAAATGCATTGTTATCTGAAAGTGGAATACCTGTAGTATTCTGTGTGGCCTATATTGCTGAAGTTGTCATTTCCCTCCCATGGAGTGTCGAAATCAAGGGGATCGATTTCGTTATTCAAGCATTATCAGAAGTTTCCTCCCCATCTGGAAGTAAGTGGTGCTTACATAATACTTCAATGTCTCATGAAAAATCTCATCAGCGATATTTCTCTGTCGTAATGATGATTTGTAAAGCTTGTCTTTTAGTAAAATTGAGTGGCACGCAAAGTGTAACTTCATTAAACTAACTCCATTTTAACCACTGAGTACTTGTCTTAGGAATCAATTTACATTCCGCTGTCATAAGTCTTAACTTTACGGAAACAGACTGACTGATTCGCTGAATAGTTTTGATTTGGTACGACTTGAAATTATGCAAGATTACCTTTCACTCTTGTGGAACCTAACCTAACCATTGTTTAGAAACAGTCACAATGTACTGTCCAAAAAATACCGCAATGTAGCGTCAAAAACTTAATTTACAAGTTTATTTTCAGTAGGTCTTAATGCTCACTCTCACTTCAAGGGTTACGTCTGATCTTGGCGACTAGAAGTAACCAGTAATTTCTCAAGTTTTGTGGATAGGCTTTTATTTATAAGCAAACTAATCAAATTTATTTACTTATTTGAACACATAGATACTGGTGCAAAGGAGAGCTCTGGTGAGACTCCAAACGCTCTGGTACTGTTGAGTGTCGTATGAGGAAGTCATCGTTATGCTCAGCGTAGGACGTGACACGTATGTGCAGTTCCGAATTTCTTCACCAAATTATCACATTAGGATGAAATTTCTACAAGACGTCTCATTGTTATAAAAGTAGCAACAGTATCAGTGATATTAGTAGATAAACAAGATTAACTATAGGAGAAAAAAGTTATAGGGAGATTTTAGGACCCGATTTCTAGGGGTAAACAAGGAGTGAATGCACCTATTTCATTGCAAACGATTTTGAGCTATGTTATTCTCTGGCGGACGCTGCTCAAAAGATTTTTTCTACGTAGTGTATTCCGGAACGTGGTGTCGAATTTGAGACAGTTGTCAGATAGATAAAAGATAAGTTCAGCGAAAGCACAGCGTGGGCAGAAAACTTGGAGACCAGTTGAGAAGACTGTTCAAATTGTAAAACACATGGAAGATGGAAATGGAGGCTATGTGTATGTATTGTGTTGATGCTTTGGAACTACTCACAGTAAATATTGATTCCCTCTGGCTATTTCCTGCTTTTGCAACATCTGTGTTTCAATCGCTTCGCTCAATGTTTCCATTCACATATCTAAGTGGATACTGCCTATTTGAGTTTCCAGATTTTCGACCAAAACGAGCAATATTATCACTACGTTGTTGCAATTTTTCGTTCCTCGAGAAATTGTGCAATAAAATTTCGATCCCAATTGACTCATTCTAGTGATCTGTTATCTGTATTTTTACAGATTTTATTTGGATTAATCATTTCTACTAGGTTTACAAACTTTCCAGCAATGCAAACCAAATATACAGTTAATAAATCGATGGGAATAACAAATTCCTTCGGTCTTGGCGGTTTTTAACGTTAATTATATCTCGAACCAATATATGTTTTGCCACCTCAACACCTTTCTCTTCGACATAGATTTTAGTCATTTTGGCTTTTTCAGTGGCCAATAAGCGGCAACAGTTAGAACTAATAACTGTCAAGCAATATGACAGGTTCGAAAAATTTTGTTTTCTGAATAATTAAACTGTTTTTCCAGGTTTAGGGCTTTCTGTGGAGCGCATTATCTTATCTTGATAGCGTAATCCTTTTCTAAATACTACTGGTTTTTCCTAGGCTAAGGAACGTCCACACAAACATATAACACTATAGATACGCATAAGTAGTAAAACGTAATAAATGTGTATCACTCAAATAGGCTAAGATGAACTATAACGCAATGGAAGAAAGGAAAGAGTGAACAGAAGATGACTATAGTAGTGAAAGCTAGAAAAATGAGAGAAACATTTGATGAAAAATATGGACAATACCATGTTTAAGGTTTCAAGGAAGATAAATGATGAGTTAATTTGCTCTGTCGTAACCAGTCTTTAGTCATATAAAATTTCCAACCGTTGAGTACAGTTGCCCCCAATGTATCCAAACAGTTGGTCTTCGCCTTACTATACCCATCAGAGTTATTCTTCTTCAAAATAAAGTCTTTTTTGTCTCTGTCTCCTGGAATTATTTCCATCGCTTCAAATTAATTTCAACCTCCTTTAGTTTGCTAAATGTTAGAAATTCCGTATCTTTCTCACTATTCTAATTATATAATTGACTAAACTACCTTTTTGTACTCGGACAGTGTTAATTTCGGAATTGTTCTTTCAGCGTTTACACCATGGTATACGGTTAAATGTTAAATATGACACCTAAAATGTAGGCTTTACAAAGTACCACACTATATTCATGGCATTTATTAAACAAGTCGATATACCTTCGTCAATGGGCCTGTTAATCAAGTTCAATAGTTTAACATCTTGTGATGTTGATAATTTGTTGCTTTTTTCTTTCAGCAGATGAACTATTCAATTCAATGATATCTAGTGTATCAACCGCAGCTTTTGCTGTAGCCAAAGCTGCAAAGGATTCTACAATCCCTGACAATTTTTTCGAGGAAACATTTACTCGTACATCAGACGATGTTGATCTTAATGATAAAGAAAAAATTCCAAAAAGTTTACAAGAGCAAGCTTATCAATTTTTCGAAAATCTTACAGCTGCTGCCGAAACTATAAATGTTGGTACAAAAGGTGCAAGCTCTTACGTTGATCAGGACAGTAAACAAAGAATTGCTCATATGATCGATTCATGTAAGTATAACTATTAACCTTGAATGAATGATCTTTATGCTTGATTATGATTTAAAAGTAACTATACTAAAACCATATTTAATTGTCTCCTAGAATAATTTTTGTTTTTATCAAGTTACATTACCACTGAAATTATTTCTGCAAACGCTCAATGATATTAATATGTTCTTATGACTCATATTGTTGAAACTGTCACTAACATAAACCACGTAGCGTATAACTTTGGCTAATTTACCAAGCTTTGAAAACATCCCACAGAATAATAGAGGACCACTGTACTCAAATTAAATAAGCTTTCGGGTGTTTTAATATTCATTCTCATTTGACAGAGTAGTTCGATAAACGTCTGATAATTTTATTGAATGGTATTACAAAACGAATTTATTAGCTGAAATTTAGCGCCTTTTGACCAATTACGATTTCCCAGACTAGAAAGTTTGGGACATAGTTAACAAATATAGCATCAAGTATAAGCTATATTTGAAATGTATGCCAATCTTGTCTCCGTTTACAAGCTTTTATTTAAACACAATACGGCGCATATGACAAAATCAGCTTGGCAACGAGGGCTTACCTAACGTTTTACTATGTTAGTGTGAATCAGTAGTCCTTGCATTTTTAAACTTGCTCATCGATAGAATTTCACTCTGAATATGCTTTGATTTGAATATTTATCACATAACTAGTTTTATTTTAGGTATGGTGCGTAAGGATTCCATGTGCTAAGTTCTTTAATTCTATCATACACGCAACTTCTTCACCATGCTTTTTAAATAGTAATATCACATTACTTCTCGTTATTTCGCTACTACAGTACAGTTCTCCCGTTTCAAACTGTTCATTAAAAATAAGGAGAATTCAGCAAAGTAAATTTTCTTTTTGACGAAATCATTTACTCAAGCTGTATATTCTCATTTATAGCTGTATGGTAAATATATGTCTATAGAAGGATGGAAAAGATTGCATCATAAACTAAGAAATACGAATGTACAGATTAAGTAAATGATCTCATCGAAAAGAAAATCTTATTCGCTGAATTCTCTTTATTTTGACTCAATAACACAATGAGATATTATAAGTCATTATTATTATCAAGTATTTAATGTATGTATTCATCAATGTTGGAGTACTATTTATTTATTTGAACACATAAATATTGGTATGAAGGGGTACGGAATACATATTCTTCACACAAGTCACTTTATTTATGTGTGGGCTGTGATACTCCCCAAGTGCTTAGACTGAAGCAGGTGGTTTTCTTAGGTGGCCACATCAGGAATTTGACCTTAATGTCTGACCCACGTAGCAGTGGAGCAACGTTAAGAGATGCACTCTCATGGTAGCCTATGACCAACAGTTTTTTCATACGCCATTTGTTCCTTCAGGATCATGGAGCCCATGTGCATCATTGGTTTGGAATCAGGGTTTTCCAAAACCTTTAGGTGGATCCTCTATATCCACCAACCCGGTTAAAGCTCCGGACATTCGCTTTTCGTCCTCTCATTTTCGTAAACAACAGTCATGCCGCGAGAATGCAGTGAGTAGGATTTCCCTGGCAGTGGCTGCGCACGCGTGGCTATGTGAGGGCATTTCGAGAGAGAGAGAGAGATGACTCTCCCCACCTTCGGCCGTACCAGGGCACTTGGGGGTTATTAGTACTAAGCTGAATCCTCAAATTGTACAACACTCATGCATTCACCTTTGTAAAACATTCTTTCTAACCAACAGTTGAGTGTTTTTTTCGTTTTATTGGTAACATCACATATGTTATCGATCGCTGCGAACTGGGCATCATATCTTAATAGCATCAATATAAAACTCATAATTCCTCATTATGCTTTATAAACCACAAAATTATATTAACTTATAACTTCCTTTTCATAATTCAACAAGAATATCGGTGTTTCATCTAATAAATCACTAGTAATGTGAGTACAATCTAGAAGTATATGTTCGGTCTACGTCTCTCAAAATTGATCATGTTACCTTTTATATTTTATAAACTATTTTATTTGCTTACCAACATTTTTTGTCCATAGTACTGGTAAAACGTACTGACCACTTGATTAATATGCTGTACGTGTATCACTAACATTCTTCTTTATTATTTTGATGGAACATTATACTAGTGTTGTTTTTCTTTTCTACACTACACTTTTTAGTGATTGCACAAACCACTATAATTCTACGCGATGTTAGTATTCGTATTGAATGTGAATTAAGACTTCCTGGAATAGATCGTGCCTCAGGATTAACCCTAACCATTAAACATTTGTCTATTTCAAATCAATATAAGACTGAAGAAAAACAACAATCAACTCCATCGAATACATCCAGCAGTGGTCGTTGGTCATGGTTATGGTGGTGGCAAAGTTCAAACAACAATAACGTCCGTAAGATTCTAAAACGTCTACCCTTTTATTGTATTTATACTGTAAATTTTGTATGAATATTTTATTAATTGGGATAGCATTTTGATTAATATGATAAAGACTAGTGTAGTTACTATCGCATATGATTTAAGTCTAAACGGTTATTTAGCACACCATTTCAGAATGTTGTGTTTTCTCTTCAATTTTCTCTTTTGTTGAGTTATTTTGAAATCCTAGTAAATAGAAAACGATTTATTATGAAAGAGAATGCAGGCTACTTTATACAGTTTTTTTATAGTTTTCATCTGCATCGTGATATGCTTTCTATACATTTGTTGAATAATGCCGAATTCTGAGATCAATTGAATACTAAGATACTTTTTTTTACAATATCACTTGTTGTTTAGATCAATCGGTTCAAAGGATAACTTGAAACTGATTTTAGATAAGAATTTCAAACTAATTGTCGACTCGTATCGTTTTTATAATAATTCGTATTATTGTTATTATCATTATAATTTTCATTATTGAGTATTTCTCTATTGCGAACAGATTGACCATTGAACTATATACTCTCTAAATAGCCTAATCAAAAAAATATATATGATATTTTTGTAAAATCGAAAAAATCAGTTTATTCTACTCATAAATATCAGTAGATAGTTATGTGTCAGAATAAAAAAATAAACTATGATATATCGATGACTGCGAATGTTTTCAATTGTGATATTTGATGAATTTTAATAGAAAACCAATATCTTATTAGTTTGATGATATTGTTTTGAATTTTCACACTTTAATATTTCTAGTTTTTCTGTAACTGTGACATTCAATAAGATTATTTAAATGATTGTTTTAATAATTTCAACTATTGGACCCTAACATTTGTTCAGTAAACATTTGGATAATGATATCAGCATTTACTTTAACCTCAATTTATGTTATTATCCTTTCATCAAGTCATTGATTGCTGGATTGGCCCGCGTCAGCAGATAAGGTCTACCAGGTTAAATTCTTCACAATCATCCTATCCAATAGTTGGAGACGTTGAATGACTTGTGTCGAAATCGGTCTTAATGGTTCAGAAGTATTTACTCTTTGTCGTCCCTTAAATCTTGAGTTTTAAAATTATCTAGTACTTTTTACTCCAGTAAATCATTCTTTCCTTCTGAAAGTCATACTGTCTATGATTAGTATTTTCTAATATTGTTCCTGCTTCTACTACTGGGGTTTATCCTAATAATTTCATCTCACTATGTTGACCTAACATGACAACTTAAAACGATTCGTATATGTGGCAGATTCTATGTTGCTTATGACCGTCTGTTACTATCCCCTCCTAGTACTGCTGGTGCTTTCTTTTTTTGATAAAAATCAGAAGTTGTATATTTTATGCAGTTGAAGACAAAAATAGATAGATTGTGGATACAATTACGGTGTTGCTGTTTTTTTTATTTTGCTCAACTTAGTTCTAATTACCAGATCTTCGCTATTGGAAATTTGTCTATATCTTACTTAGATGTTCATTTTAAACGATATGTTAGCAGCACCCAAGTAAGTATATTTCACATTAAGGACCAACCTTAGTTAGACAACTATTGAAAATTAGGGGACGCTAGACAGCTATTTCGTCTCTGTATAAGACTCCTCGGCGGCGCACATCCACGACGGCACCAGGGCTTAAGCCCTGGTGAGCGCCCAACCTTTAGATTCTTGAGGTGATTGGACATATATTTTTCTAGCAGTCTTTTTTCTTTCCAGCTACCGGAAATAGCTCAGTATCATCATCGTCATCTAATTCTACCTCTACACCAGCCGGAAGTTTATCAACCATGTTGCATAAAATTATCCACTTGGAAGAGGCTGATTTATTCTGGGATTTATGGAGTACTTCTGGTCATGTGCAAGGTTGTTCAAGCTTGTGTAGTTCTCTAGATCCAAGCCAACCTCCATGCTCTCCACTTCCTAACAAGGTGAATATAGTGTAAAAAGTTACTGCTTTACAAACAAACCTTAAGACTGGATTTTTTTATTATCCCCATTTGTTTTTTATCTAATATATTAAGTCACACTAAATATTGTCGAATCACATCATTTTCCCCAGGATCATGATTACTTTTGATGAAAATACTATTAATACTAACTAAGTGATGTAAGATTTTGTCCAAAGTGACTAGTAAGTTTAATAATTTCTCAAATCTTTTCGCATGATTATCTCAACCAGCCGTTAGAGACTGTGAATGACACGGCTCAAAATCGTTCTCAATGGCGCAGATTCATCCATTCTTTGTCTTGCCTTATACTCTAAGCTTCTGAATTCCTCATAATTATCTTATTTCACCAATTTATATTTTCCATTAGTACTGTTCCCAGCTCTACTACCATGGTACCTAACCTAACAACTTCATCTCACCATGCTAACGGGTTGTGGCAATTTGAGCTGATGTACATACATATCAAATTCCGCGTTTCAACTAGCTGGCTGATCGTTTTGAGGCAGATTTTTTGTTTAAAGGCAGCCCCGGTCGAATTAGATTAAGCAAAGTTTGAATCTATAACGTAATAATTGACTAGCCAGTGCTTTGATCAGTAAGTCATCTTTCCAGTTTGAAAACAGTGGATACCAACTACTGTTATTTTCCCGAAAAAATGTCAGATTGATTTCCTTTTCATACCATGGTTGTCAAACAGTTTTCTTGAGGCTTTTATTTTTCTAGATCAATAATTTGAACATTGTTAAACCATAGTTTTACACCATTACTCATTTGTGAAACTAAAAACATCGCTACCTCCCTACTTTCTCATATTTAACGTTTACATATATTTCGTTATTTGATTCAGTCAGTCAGTCAGTAACAACGTAGAACTTCGTACGTACGTACATCAGTTCGAGTTGCCACACCACATTACAACAGAGATGCACTTGTCGATTCAAATCCCGTAGTGGTAGAGGTAGCAAGAGTATAAGCAGTAATCGGGAAGATTAGGGTTTGGAGATGTTATTTAAAGAGTATAATCCAGTGAAAGAAATTTGGAAAGAGGGAAAAAGGGACATGAAGAATTCAGAAGATTAGAGTTTGGGAGAACACAGAGAGTGGATGCACCTGCGCCATTGCGAACGATTTTGAGCCATGTGATTCAGGGTCTCTAACCATCGGTTGCTGTCATCTCGCGGTCCCCAACCAGGTAGTCTACACCTACCAACATGACTCAGTTCACTTGTCAGTGACTTCATGGAATTGTGCCATGTTTTGGTTTGGCCGCCCCTAGCTTTCTTCCAACCTACTCCTATACCACTGAACATAGCACGTCGAGGCAGTCGGTCGTTGGGCATACGTAACACGTGTCCCAGCCATCTCAACTGATGAAGTTTCACTACGTCATCAATTGATTTGCCATCCTTACCTAGTACCCGTTTCCTAACAACTGTGTTACTTACTCGATGGTCCCATGATATACGAGCAATGTTTCGAAGACACCTATGATCGAATACTAGTAACCTACGGATATCCTTTACTCTTACCGGCCATGTTTCACTGCCATAAAGTAGGACGGAACGAACTGCTGCGCAGTAAACACGTCCTTTGGTTGATAGACGGATATCTCTCCTACGCCATAAATGACGCAAGTTGGCAAAAGCTAGTCGAGCCTTCTGATTATTGGATGACTATTTATTTACTCGTTTCGTGCAACATCAAGTACTTCAAACAGTTGTTCTGAAATCGCGGTTCTTATCTAAACTTTCTAACTTCAATGGGTGTATGGTGATATGGATCTAGTAGTAAATTGATATGCCTAACATTATGTATGTATACCACATATAGAATTAATGATATTACAAAATATCTTTTCTATTTTTACGTGGCTAATTATCTTGGTTTGTTGAATTAGTTTCTTTAAAATGACCAAAAATCGATTAAGATATTTAATAACATCGACTGTTGTGTATTTCATGTGATTGCTTTCAACGTTTTGCATAAAATACTGTTTATATTTTATTCTTTATGTATTTACAGACATGTGGTCCAACAGCTGATACACTTGTCTCATCAGCTAAACTTCTAACATTATCTGGTTCAGAGCATACAGCGCGATTGAGTTTACGTGTTGGTTCCGCATTGAATGTGTCACCCAGCCTTACACCTTCAAATATACAATCAGATGATCTACCACGAACGATTAATACTAATACTAACAACTCTAACACCAACTTGGTTAATATGTCAGACTTTCAGTTACGTTTACATGTGGACTTGGGACCTATTGTTGCTTGTGCTTATCCTAGTCAATTTTACTGGTTACACATGATGATTGGTCAACTTGTACATATTTATGACGACTATGTAGAACATAGTAAAAAGATATCAGAACAAACTAAACTAGAAAATGATATGACATATTACTATTCTGATTTATTAACAAATAAAGATTTATCAAATATAATGGATGAGAATGGTTGTATCAGTGTGGCTACATCAAATTTGGTAAGTTTTACTTGTCACTCCCTCCAGCTTATTTTAATAAATTAGATTGTTTCTCCTACTTCTATCGAAAATGAATCCAAACCAAATAATTGATTACTCACTGTTTGATCCCTTGTTTTGTCATTTGAGATGTTTAACTTACGATACCACACAAGAGTAAAATGGTCATTAGAACTATTAGAACTATTCCATCATAACTTGGTCAAGTATAACTTATAAGATCTATTTCGAAACGTATGGTTATGTTATGAATTCAATAGACCAAACTACTTTGTATCTGGACATAAAATCGTTATTTATAAATAAGCCGATTAATATAAATAATTGATTCTATATGCGTACAACTATTGGAACAAGGATTTGCGAAGACTAGTAAATAAAGTGAGGAAACTTATACTGGAATGTATGATAAGCATCCAAATTGTGTTTAGTAATGAACTTTATAGACAGACAGATTAAGGTTTCCTCTCGGTACGATTTTAGCTTATATCTTGCTAATGAAAATGGAAAATGAATAACTGCATGGCAAACTGCATAAGTTTGAATTATTACTGCCATCACATAGATGCCATACTAATTCTGTGCAATAAAAGTGTCATAAATAAGAACTTTTGAACACTTAACAATTGTCATCCCGCCATTAATTGTACCATCGAAAAAGAACATGTAAACTGTATAGCTTTCTAAATGTTTTCTTCAAAAAGATGAATGGGTTCGTAAGAAGGAATATATTTAGAAAGAATACATAAACTGGGCGTTATGTCGATTTTCTTACCTTCGAACCTTTACAGTACAGAACAAATATAGTTAAATGTCTGAACCACAAAGTGAAATTATTCGGTTCCGAGGGTAGTGTAGATGCAAAAATAAAACTTCAGAAACTGTTAAATAACAGTTTTCTTGTCGATTTCATCAAAAAAATAAATGTCCGTACCGAAAAGTAGAATAAAAACAGTTATGATGAGTAAGAGAGCCTCTAATCTAGAGGACGATTTTAAATGTAACAGTTGCTTTTCGATTGCACATCAGCTCAACTAAACTAATATTCACAATAAATCAAAGATATAATATCATCAACGTGTGTATATCTATTTAAATACTCACGTGGATCTAGTTACATTGGTTACAGATAATACTAACCCTTTTCGATAAGTTTAAATAAACAACCATTTGTGATGTATTTTTTAACTAATAGACGAAACATCTAGTGTCATATTAATATATATTTCTCAGGTCTTTTTTAATCTACTCGAATTTACCTCAGAGAAGGTAAATATATAGAATATTCTTACTATAATTTCATACATTCCTCAGTTGGTATCATATTACTATGTAACGCAACTAAGTAAAAATATCGATCCAAAGTGAAAATTCCAATTTAATCAGTGGTTGTTCAGAATTTGAAATGTTTACCAAATGGGTTAGCTAAGCAGTTGTTTGAATAGTCCTGATAACAATAGAGATATATGACTCAGTACTTAGCTGGAGAATAACATAAAATCCGTTGATTTGTAAAGAAACATTTTGTTGGAAACAGCATCAGCTCTGAGTTGGCTTAGTTCATATTGACTGGATTTGTTTATTGGTGCTAAGTTTTATTTGACAGGATTCATTGTATTGCAGTACTCATAGCATTAGTGATTAAACTGGTGAAGTTAAAGGAAGTTTGGTGCATTAAAATGCCAAAACGACTATAGTATGACATAATGAAGTGAAAATGGAATGGTTAGTTATGTATACTTCGATAATATGATAACTTGAGCTGGGCTTATAAAAGTATTAGCATGATGGAAAATTACTGCCATATTGCGAATTAATCTCGCTATCGTAATGTCAACTTGAGCCGATGGACTTATGTGTCAGGTTCTACGTTGTGTATGCTGTTTAGCAGTGATTAACCGCAGTGTCACCTTTTCAGGTTTTAATCAAGAACCATGTATCAATCTATTTATTCTTTTTAAAGGCTTAATACTGTCAATAAAAACTCCCTTTTTTCCAAAAATATGTTTTAGGGTTTGTTAGAGCTCATTGAATGTCCAGTATAGTAGATAATGTTATAAATGAAGTTGAACTAGTTTTTATTTCTATCAGAAACTTATTCATAAAGCAATAAATCAATTGTACAGTTGTTATCTTGGTTTACATAAAACACATCATCAGCCATTTAAATGAACCAAATATTCGGATGGATACATATTTAAATAGAACTAGCAATCTACTAACTTGGCATCTTATTACTGGATATTTACAGATCCGTATAAGCAACTAGTAAATAATCCAATCACTTTCCTCCCCATTCTTGGTATCTGTCTTACTCCATTAAAATTGTAAATAAAAGGACTTGTTTGCCAAAAATGTTCAAACATGAAGTTGAGCTATCCACACAAATTCCGAGTAACACAAATCAACCGTCTACTGACAAAGAGTTATTCATTTCTGCCATTAAATCCTTAAAGCAATTATCTAAACCAATCATGTCATGAATGTGCTTTTCATTCCCATAAAGTATTTAAATTCAATACTTATAAGAAATATATAACTAGTTCTGTAAATAAACTACCAGGGATGCCAATTTTTCCTCAAAGTTTTACCTTTTCAATGAAGAACACTCGGATTGGTAATTTAAAATAAGCTCAAGTCGTTTGATTTTTCAAGGCACAATTATATTATGTGATATGTTTGCTAAACTGTTTCTTTGTTTAAACATATTCATTAGTTCCTGTTGTAATATTTCTTTAATCAATAAACACTTCCAATAGTAAATGGATTCACGAGAATTTGTCTGTATATATATATATATATATATATATATATATATATATATATATATATATATATATAATGTCACGAGTTTGTCTCATTATTATTATTTTAATATATCAAACTACGTAAGTTCTGTCAGTTGTTTCGTGTGACTATGGAATTTATCATGTGTTCAGGATATCATATAAAGAATGTACAGGAAACTTTTTGAAATGTTTTCAAATCTTGGGAAGCTATTTTCAAATTTGAATCAATCCATTTTATATGTATCCGTGCGATTTCACCTTTTCGAAATGGATCCATATAAACGTTTATTGGCTAATACTTTTTATATTCTATTTAATATTTATTCAAATTCAGAAATTGTTTAAAGTATGGTGAATTCTTTCTGTGTTGGTTTATGTATTACTTCAATTTGATTGTGTTTTTGTTAATAGATTTGTCAAGGTTTCATCATTTTACATTCTGTGAGTTTGAAGTTAGTTGCTTAGTTTATAGTCACTTCAATCCTCAAGTCATTTGAGAAGATATTTTAAAAGGGCTTTAAATGTATTTCAATAAGCAGCTCAACTAATAATTAAACATTGATATCTTTGTGACAAATTAACTATAGTCATTCACACTCCAATAAATTAAGCTATAGCTAACAAATTCAACCTCTCACTTCACCCTGTTGTAAATGTTCATACATCTGTACACGTTTATCAGTTTTATTATTGTTTTTGTCATCTAAGATAACACTTGTGTGATGATCTGTGAGTCATCCACTCATTTGTTTCATTCTATTTCCTATCCTTCAGAATAAACATATTGGTGATTATTCAGACCATAGAAATTATCAAAAACCCCATTCGACTTTGCGTAATAAACCTAGAGAAGCTCATCTAATTGATTTAGATTTAACACCGAGCCCAATCAACCATCAAAATCTAACCTCTACAATGTTAAGTAAGTAATATAAATGATCTATTCATATATATGCACACCATCTATCCAAGATAATGAAAACTATTTGTTAAAGCTACTATTTTTCGAAACAGTAGTATTAAACCTAACAGGAAAAATATCTGAATTATCCGTTCATTCTTGTAACTAAACAATCATTTTATATTTATTCAGATAGTGAATTATTTCGCTCCTGTTTGAGTGATGTGTCAACTACCACGATGTATGGAGATAATGCCATTCCAAACCAACATTATGGTGAGTCGCTTTTTCACTTTTAAAATCTTAGTTAACTAATATTTAGCCGTTTATTATTTTGAAGGTTTTCACAGAAAATACTCTTTGGAATTTCACCATGGAGTGAATAGTATTTTGTTTTGATTTTAAATTAAACAAAGCGTTTGCTTTTAATCACTTATTCTAATTTATTAGAATCTTTAATATAGTCAGTTCACTATTAACAGCGACAGTATTGAAATCATGTTTATCATTATCTAGTCTCAAATCTTTCTAGTTACCGTTTTACTGACTCATTATCATCTATTTTATTTACCGTGTGAAAATAGAAAATAACAGACCTTCGTAAGTAATACCTGTATTTCTCGTGGATTATTGGCTAATATAATTATTAAATAGTTGAAATGGTAAATTTTACTTTTTATCAATACTGAGGAATGCTGAATATTTAAATTGATTTCAGTGCTGGTTTTTCGTTTAACTGCCATTTCTTGTCTAATTTGCAACTCTACTTAGCTTCTGTACTAACGCGATGGTTGTTTGATAGTATTTCGTTATTTTTTAAATAAAATATGATTTGACCAACTGACTAGTGTCAGACGGTTTGAAGAAAGTTTGGGCGGCCAAACCAAAACGTGGCATCAGTCCTTGATGTCACTAACCTCTGGTCTGAGCCATGTTAGTAGATTTAAATTACTTGGTTGGGTTCCGCGCGACTATCGCAACCAATGGTTGGAGACTCTGAGTGACATGGCTCAGAATCTATCACAGTGGCGTCGGTGTATACACATTTTGTCTTCCCTTAAACTGTGAGATTACAATTGCTTTATATATTTCTTTCTGTGAACTAATTGTTTCTTCATGTATTATATCCTTATATGGAATTTTTCTTTAATATATTACTACCATTGAAATAACTATTTGTATGAATTGGATGTTGACCTTGTTGTGCTATTGAGTTGTGGCAACTTGGACCGATGCATATATTTACCTGGTCCTACATTATAGCTAACTGATTGATTTGATAATAATTATTTATTATTATTTTTATTTATTTTAACACATAGATATTGGTACAAGGAGGCACCAAATACATATGCGCCACACAAATCTCATTCGATATGTGTGAGAGCTGTGATACTGCCCGGGTGCCCAAACTGAAACAGTTGGTTCTCTTAAGGGGCCACACTCCGAGCCTTAGACCTGAAGGTCTGATCCACAAGGCAGTGGAGCATCGTGAGGAGATGCAGTCCCGTGGAAGCCGGTGACCAACAATTGGTTCATACGTCATTTGTTCCCGCAGGATATTGGAGCCCATGTGCACCATTGGTTTGTGATCCGGTCAAAGCGCCGGACACCCGCTTTTCGTCCTCTCATTTTCGTAAACAACACCCCCGCCACGAGAAGGCAATGAGTAGGACTTCCCTGGCAGAGGCTATATACGCGTGGTCATGTGAGAGCATTTCGAGGAGAGCGGACTTTCCCCACTCTCGGCCGTACCACGGCATTTGGGGGCGATTGATTTGATAAACAAGCATTTTTCAGTTTTTTAAAGCTTAAGATTTAATGCAAGCCGTCGAATTATGTGTTAGTAATCATTGTGATTTATTTCACTTGAAACAATCTGTTAATCTTCTATAACGACAAACGAATGACGTTCACTTTGTTTCCAACCTTCTAAATTACCTCATAATTTCTTTTCTACTGCACTAATCTATATTTTCTTCTAGAATCGTATCTTCTATGCCTAGTCTTTTCTATCATCATTAATATTGTTACTACCTCTACTGCTATGGAGTTTACTCTGATAATTTTATTTCACTATACTAACGAGGTGTGATAACTGGAACCGATATACACATGTATACCAGGTTCTACGTTGCTCACAACTGACTGATCAACTTAATTCTAGTGCATAACAATGTCTGTAACCATCGGTTTGTATGAATTTTGGCAAATCAGATAATTAATTTTCAGAATTCACTTCATTTTATGTTTTGTATTAATGTGTTTTCATGGAGCTTTTCTTAATTGTAACCATTTTTTTGTTAGTAGATCATCTCTACTTACCAAAACCTGATAGTAATCGTGATTCAGCTCAAGTGGCTACAAAATGTAGTATGTCAGTAAATATACTATGTATAGCTTTTGTGGCCTTTTATGAAGATGAATCTGTATTGACACGTGAACAGATAGCTGAAGGAACTTCATTTTCAGCATCATCATCTAATATGAACTCCTCTGTACATAATTGGCGATCAGATGAAGAGAAGTTATTAAAAAAAGATGATTCACTAGGATTGAATGAACAAGATTCACTAAATGCTGATGAGATGAATGATACAAGTACATTACCAGAACATCAATCACGTAATTGTGGTGATAATAAATATTATGGTCATAATAATAATGATAATTCCGCTGGCTCTTATTCTACAACAACTGGTTGTACAGCGATATTACCAGGGCCATCAATATTTTTTGGACGATTTCATGGTCTCATACCAACTCCAACTTGTCGGTTAAAATCTGATAGTGGTCGCAATCAATTGGATGATAACGAAGACGAGGTAGATATGCTACATTCTAAGTGTCAACCGATGATTATTAACCGTCAAGATGTAGATACAGGTCGTATGTCTCCTTCGGAATGGGTATCACATTTGAAATATCAATTTTCCAATATGGCTTATCCTCGTGATCATCTATGGTAAGTTTACTGTGTGTACAAAGTTATTCTTTTTTTATGAAACCGAGAAATTATATAATTTGTGGTGAGTTTATCTTTTATGTGGAAGTGTAAATATTTTGAAACATTTAAAAATTACTCAGAACTATAAATCATTTTAAGTAGGACGTTAGAGAAAGAACCAGAATTTTATACCTGTGCGAGAAACACAAAACAGACTTATCAAACCATATTTATTCAAGTAGTTAATATTGTGTGATTAAAGCAACTAAGATTATCCCAAGTTTTATTTTCTGTAAATCCGTGAACACATACTTATTTTGTTAGCATTTGGATACAAAATCTAGCACATATGATTCACCTTATTTAATTATCATCAACTTTAAGTTAAAATCCAATTATTGTTGGATATCAACATACTCAAACTCTCTTCACACTCCATTTTTGACATAATACTTAACTTAGATCCCATTATTCTTTTAACTGAAATTCTTTCAACATACCAAAATCCAAAAGAATAACTGCTATTCACAGATTTTGCTATCATTCCATTAGAGTGACTTAATTGAATAATTATAAGACCTAGATTGATTATTTATTCTTAGGTAATAAGTAATTCATATAAAGATTGCTCCCATCATTTTTTAAAATGAAAACATGTAGTAGTTAAGGCGCTCAGATTTAGCTTTTTAGTCCCAGGTTCGAACCCCTTCCTCGTCTATTTTAGTTTGTGCAATCGAATAGTATCATTAGACTTCACAATTAGACTGTGGCTCATACTCAAGTAACTGGTGAATAAGTTAATTGTATGTTATAGTACATATTTCCTCCTTTGTCTTGAAAGATTTATCTCAATCGCCTATATATGAACTAATTGCATGTGACTTAATCAATGTCCATACGTTCTAGTTTTTCATTGTGGATATATTTATGTTTTTTCCAACACAAAACAAATAGAAACAATGAACGAAAACAGATGAATTTTAATTAATTATTGAAACAGGTGCTGTTTGATTGATTTACCCAAGAGGAGGGATACATTAGTTTATTATAATTTCAATTATTTTAAGAGAAATTCTATAGTTGCGCTGGTTAAATAGTCAATGTGCAATAATTACTTAAAATTTAAAGGGAATTTTCAAATCCATAAAGAGGTGAGAAACAAAAATTGATTTTGTCTGCATAGTGATTTGCTGTCCTCAGACACATGGATTACATCACAGTGATAGGATGTTATATCTTCGTCTGATCACCTTTTGTGTATTGCTAGCGTAGTCCTATGCTGACCAGCATGCGATGTCATGTCAAACGTTAACTAGGCATGCGTAGTGTATAACTTGGTTAAGATTCACAATGTTATCAACCGAATCCATCATCTCTGTTTAATGTTGTCTCAAGCATTGTCTCAGTACTACCAACCTGATACTTTTAATCTTCGTGAGCAACGGTTTGTAGGTATAAATAATCAAATATTAATTTATGTTTGTTACCTACCTCGCTCATTCTGTTATGACTTCTGTCTCTGTCAATTATCAAGTGACAAAATCGCTAATCAGAATACCAACTTCTATGATCTTGTTCCTGTATTAAACCAATGACATGTTAACCACTACTAGCAATCTTGCGTCAACTCTTAATCTTTATTGGCCCTCAATATAGTAGCTTCCCGCCTAGACCTGCCCGTTGAGTCCAGAACAGAATATTAGCGTGCGCTGTATGAATAATATATTCCAGACATACGTAGTGTATATACAAGCAGAATAGACCGTATCATACCATAAAATGAAAAACAATGATTAAACAGAAACAGGCCAAAAGTGGTTGTGAATGTGGGAGACTGTAACTAATAGATTGGGAATAAATTAAGAATAATATGTCGTATTATAGTAGCTAAAGGGTCAAATGAAAGCTCATCAGAAAACCAAGAATTTAAATTAAAATCCTTACATTGAGCTAAAACAAACAATCTATATAGAAGTTTTCTAGTCGGATTATCCTTACAATAAATCTGACTTCATTTTATGTCATTTTAAAAATAGTTTTGACTTTATTGACCATAACTATTTTCTAAAATGATTGATCGGTGAGAAGTAGATATTATTAGGCATCAAACTACTAAACTATATAATATGACTCAGAATCGATAACATTGACACTGAAACATTCCTTCTTTGTCTACCCTTCGATTCCTTTGTTTTTTAAAAATAATCTCATACCCTTGTTTAATCTGCAATTTGATTCTCTCTTCTTGGATTGTATTCTCAATACTTAATGTTTTGTATTATCAATTGCTTTGGTAGTCATCTTGATAATTTCATTTGGTTTTGTTGATGTAATATGACAACTTAAACCAATGCATGTATATGCCAAGTTCTACATCGTTAATGACTAAATTCTTTATCCATTCTGTAAACTTGATATTAAATACTCATTTTTAATTATTCATGGTTTATTCAGGTCTAACTGTCTATATTGATTAATGAGTTTAGTTTCATGGATTAATACATATATCTGACTTCTAATTAGTCGTATTACTCTAAATGATGATAAGTAGTTATGAAATTCTTATAATTCAGGAAAAAAAATTTAAGAATTATTATTGTAAATCACTTATTGTACAGTACATAACATTTATTCAGATCAATAATCTCTTATACTCTTTTATGTGCTACTGACAAAAATTCATTACTGTATGATATTTGGCATTTCTAATGATCTGTTTCAAAGGATTTCATGCAATTAGTTCCCTTTATGAATTTAACTAAAGGCAGAATAAATATTGATGCAGAATAATATGAATTCATTATATTTCTAATACATTTTTAGTTGTAAGTGGCTGATGAGAAACCACGAATTCATATTATTCTGCATCAATATTTGTTCTGACTTTATTTAAAAGATTTCAAACATTTTTTTATTGATATGGACCCTTGACACTGTTATAAGTTGCTTTTCTATGCATTTTCATATTTAGTAAATTGCATGTGACATTAAATTTTAATACGTGTTTTTTTTTTATTCTTTTTCTAAAGTTTATTGACAATGCAATCACATTTTATATCCGTCTTATTTAACATGATCTTTCATATCGCTTTTTATTCTTGACGTGATTGACTGTTTCTTCATTTCAGTTTTAGTTAACTTGTCTCACGAAAATAATTATTTAACTCAGTAATTATATTTTGAATTAGTTATTGGTAAGGAATATAGATTATAATTTTAAAGCATTAGTTGTCAATTTCAAAATTCACTATGCTTTTTCTCCATATGTAACGGTATAACTAACACAAGTTCATGTTGCATATGTTACATTTAAGTCTTCGCAAAAAAATTCAGTGATTACCGTCAGATGAAAATCTCGAAAATGATTATCATTAAATAAAGTTCAAATTGATGTTATTATGCTAGATACGTAATTTATTTCTATCTTAATAATTTTCTTGATGATGTCATGTGGATGATTTCTACCAGAGTAATTAGCATTGAATAAAGTTGGATACGAAATTAGACCGGTGTTCAATCCGAACCAGTTGTAAATCATTAAACATAATGTATTTATCTGGTAATGGTAGATTATTCATCTAAATTCATCATTGCTGAGTGAACGTAACTCATGGTTTTATAAAGCCTTCAGCATCAACAGTCCATTGCATTTACCAAGCAAATTGGGTTGGGACACACATATGTATAAGTTCAACTGACTATAAGAGCATTAAATTAATGATTGAATCAATTTAGATTGTAGGTTTGAAACTGCGCTTCATCTATTTCGGTTTAGCGCAAAGTTGTGTACATAAACCTGTACTCGATAAATGAGTTATATGCTTTTTTCTTTATGAATGTGCACTGAATAACAATATTTCTTAGTATCTCAGTCCTAGAGTAGTATTACACCTCATTTTATTCCAAGTTGAATTGCGTTCCTTAGTACAGCATAGTAATCTTACGGAACGTCACAAAATTCCAATAAAAGTTTAATCAGCATTGAATAAATTAGTAGATATGTATTACCTTTAGTTCGATTTCTTTTCAATATTTTTACACTGTGCACCATACAGCAAGTAAGTAGTACGTGATTGTGAAAGACCAACAATGACACTAACTACCTAAATCTATATAGATTAAAAAGGCACACAAACAATCTCAAAACTCCACTTTTCTAGCTCTCATACAATTACTAAGCAACAAAAAAAGAAATAACAATGGTGATAATATATCTACTTTTCTAACAATATCTACTCGTAACTGACATATACAACTGCTCTATATACTCGAAAAATTGATGAGAATCTAGAAAATTTCCTGATATTACTTGTAGAATGAATTATAGTAGGTACTAGTTACATATCTTTTTTGGATCCATTCTAAAAGAAAATTTCATCAGTTTTTGTTGTGTTAGACTTACTTTCTTAAAGTATTTATCGAGCACGCAATCATTATCTGATCAGTTTTACAGAAATTATCAAAAGTCTTATAAATCCATTTCAAACTGAACAAAAAATGCATTTTCAACAGATTAAACAGTTTTACAAGTCAATTTTTATTGAGAAAGGATTTAATTTAATACTATTTTAACGATTAATTCATTATAATAAGGTGACTGATTATGCTTGTTTTGTTATGATATTGATTTATTTTCCAATGTTTAACGTTGAATAAGTTCATCATGTCTCTTCTTATTGTTTATACTTCAACTGGGGGTGGGGGGGTATCAATTAATACTCACTAACTAACTGGTTGGTTGACTAATAAATGCGGGTCGTATTCTATTATTAATCGCCAGCTTAACTAGCTCTATTCTTATTTCATTTGTGTACATGTTTTCGGAATTTTGCATCTATAAAATGTTATTTTTGGAATGCCTATGATACTGTTAATAAATATTCATGGTAATAATAACAATATTTCTCATCGGCTCATATCAAGCTTTCGTACTGATTTTCACTTCATTAAATAAATACTGAACCTTTTGAAGATTTGTAACTTGATTACATGAATGAAACAAGATCATTCTTTGTTAT